GGGGGGGGGGGGGGGGGGGGGGGGGGAGGTGGAAGGGAAGTGCATTGGGGGGATGCTTTGTTTATGAATCGGGTAGGGTAACAGAAGCAGTAAATATTTATTACGTGCGGTGTAAATATTTTGCACATATTGTATACTCTCGCTGAGCGATGGGTGTGAGGCTAAATTTAGTCTTTCTGCTTGGCTGTTGTTCTCGGGTTGGGGAAGCCTGTCAACGACGTGTGCTGAATTTGACACTTGGCATTTGTTAAAATGGATGCAGGAGCGGAGAGGAGGATTTTTCATATTCGTGCGTTGTTCGTGATATGGTTGTGAAAAAAAAGAAAAACGCTAAAAACTTAATTAATTGCCTGATTCGCAGAGGATTAGAAGCTATTCTGGAATGTAAACAAAGCTGAGATGGAGTTGTGCTTTTTTCCCATGTTTTTTCATTGGAAGGTAAGCAAAACTGGATGAAATATGCTTGATAATAAATGAAATACCTATGACTATATGTTGTATTTGCCTGGCCTATTTTACATAATTTTGAATTGGCTGATTCCCTCACTTCTTGCTGTATTTCCTTCGCATTTTTCGCATTCATGATGGGCCTGCTAATCTGCGATGTAGATTTGACGGGCATCCAGCTGTTGAGCTTAGTTCTTTGTTGAGAGAGAGGAAGGGGAAGGTTTTTGTCCCCTCGGATTCTTTTGGAAAAACAGCCGCTGCGAAGTAAGCGGTTAAAAACGGGAGATGGTGTGAATCGGATAATTTAGTGCAGAAATGCCCTGATTTTTTGTCCTTCGCGTTTCTGGATTTGGTCGCTTCTCTGTGTTTAGATATCACGTTTATTAGTACAGTAAGTTACATGAGCTTGCCTGGTGGAGTATCTGCGGGAAAAGGGAGGATATGGCACTGGGATTCAAGAGAACGAAAGAGCTTTCCCCCTCGATAAGGCGTTTATTATGGCCGCTGCTTAGAATGCGTGTATTATCTGTTTGCGTGCATTGACGGTGAGCAACACGGGGATCCTAAGTTGCTCATCTGGAGTGCCAGATGTTCAGTATAATGAAATGCCTCTGGCAAGATGTTGTTTTGCATCTTCTCCCCTTCGCCCTCCTTCTCCTTGACATTTTTGTTGTCCTGGGCTGGAAAATAGCACTTCCGCTTTTGGAGCGATAGCACTGAGTCTAAGTGATATCCACTGCAGTGCAGCCACTCACCAATAAGAATTGTACTAGATTTCCGTCTCACGAACAATATGTTACCATTTCAGGGCTATGTTGCGCGTCCTTTTCCTCCCCTTTCCCTCCCTTTCTTCTTACAGTTCTTTTGAAAGTCGTGCTGTGTAAGAACTTACCGTACAAACATGGCAAAGAGATTTTTTGTTGAAATAGTTGGGTCGGTGATGTCTGTGGAAGGACGTAATAATGGTTTCCGGTTTCATTTGGGCGAAGAGAGGGTTGGGAGGGAGTGCTGGGCGATAAGCTCGTTTGTGAATATGATTAACTATGGGAGAGAGGATACTTTCATAGCGCAGCAGGATGCTTTCACTGTGATTCATATGTTTAGTTGATATGCTCTTTTTCTGCCAAGCAGTGAGGGCGGGGAGGGAGAGGGCGAGCAAGCAGTTGGATAGCTTTGTAAAAATCAAGCTTCAGAGGAGAGCTGTTGTCAGGAATTTTGTGTTGGAGATTAAGATGGGCCCAAGAAGCATTCTATTGCTATCCCACATTGCTTCGTTTCTCTTTTTTTCTCGAAAACCAATGTCGGATAGCAATAGAATGCGTCGTTTCGTTTCCAGGTGAATCGTTGGTTTGCAAATCGCCGTCGTAAACAGACGAAACGCCGTAAGAACGGGATCTGTGGGTCGCCGCGACCGTTAACTTCATTATCAGTGGGGACGAATAATAACGTTGTGTCTCAGGAGCAGCAAAGCGATCTGAACTGGCAGAACTCGTTATCATCGGGTTAGTATTGCAACTTTTGCTTTCATGTGATTCTCCGAAATGAGAAAGCTATGGGCAGCTCCTGCAGTTGTAGTTGGCGTTTGCTTCCGCTCGGAATAAATACTCATTCGTAGAGGGCAAATACGGTGAGAGTTTTGACTGTTGCTGTTGTTGCTGGTGAAAATTCGCGTGTGTCTGAACTGCAGTAAGTGATGGAGTGTGTTATTCGTGTCGTTTTCTATGTTTTGCGTTCGAGGGAAAAATCTTTTTAGATCAGATAAGTCAAAATCTTTTCCTGCATTCACTGTGCAAGAGATGTGCGGGTTAAAAAAATGCGTGTAGGATTTGTCTAGCGTGCCCGTTTTTTCTTCGACCTACGTACACCACTGTAGGCTATCGTTGTTTATCTCTCTGCTTCCCACCAGCGTACATTTTGTTGTTTGTAAATATATTTTGACGTATTTACAACAACAGTCCATAGTGTTGACGACGTACGCCTGCATTGGTTGTTGCCCGTATAATCCACCGGGTGTTTTGCGAGGTTCTCTTCGCTTACACACTGTTGTTGTGACCGATGTTGCGTCAGTTGATGGTCATCTGGTACGGTGCTGTTGAGTGAGCGTGACCTTCATTTTCTCTCTTCCCTTCTTCATCCTTCCAGTACAGCTCGGGCCCACTTGCTCCTTGTCTGTTTGACTAAATAAATTTCTTACCTTCCACGTTTTTTTCTTGATTTTTACTTTTTCTTTGATTAAAGTTCGTTTGGGTCTTATTTTGGTAAATGGAGGCTTATACGCCTTTGTTGTGTGATGTAGAAATTTTTGACAGATTTATGCAGGAATTTTGAATTTTTGACAATTTACAGAAAGAAATGGCAGCTATTCGGTGTTCCGTTTTTATTCCAAATCTGCATCTTTACGCTTGAGAAATTCATCTTAACTCTTCCGTGCTAGCCATTTTTAGGCCTTCATTTTCGGCTGCTATTTAGATTGCATTTTTATCTGTTCGTGTGCGCAGCCCCGTCAGTCGTCGTAATTCTATGGGAGAAAATTCATTTGTACGAAGCTTTCACATCGAATATATTATGGTAATTAGTTATTTCACACATCCTTGAATGTGTGTTGCATCGCCTTGCAGTCAGTCCTTTCCTGAAAATGGCATTGATAGGCCCGAAGGTTCCGTACTGGGTGATTTTGTAGGTAACATAATCATGCATTTCCATTCCAGCAATCATCAGTTTATTAGAAGTGGGCAATTTTTGGTGGAAGTACGCTCTCATGTTGCTTTGGACTGTCTCTTCTCCCGTTTTTATTATTTGGCAGTTGTCTTCCAGCATAAAAAAGTGGACGATATGTGCTCTATGGCGTGGAATAATGCATTATTTTGCTAATAGTAGCCCTGGTTGAGGGACAGAGGAGGAAGAAGGGGATTGGATGAATGAAGGGAAGCAGACGGCGGATGTAGTAGTAATGCTTGAAAAAGCCCTCATTCATACGATCCAGCGGGTTTAGTTGCCAAGGACGACGACGGCCATAATCTCGCGACGACAGTATCCTGAACCTTTTTATTAGTTTCTGTCACTGCTATTATTACCATTAATA